GAAAGATTAGAAACCTTCCTGGTCCCATATCCCATCTAATGTTCTACCCCCTTCTACAATGCTCCGACTGAATGTTCTTATTTTCTCTCTGCTGATCAAACACCTCCAGTTACTTGTGGGCCATCAACCTCATGTTGGATACCAACTCTGTCGCTCAGTGTGTTATAATCCAGCCATATTTTTCTGATTTTCCCAATGACTATCATATGCCTTGCTGCAAACCAGAGATATTATTGCCTTAGCATTTCTCTCTCTCTCTAATTAGCCCTATTCTGAAACAAGGAAGGCAGAATTAAACATGATTGATTCTGTTGACTTTGAGTTATCATTACTTTCTTCTCCAAGTTTCTTTTAAGTGATTTATTTACAAATCTCTAAACATGAAGACAGTCGGCTGAATTTAAACTGCTATATAAATACAGGGTAAACATCTTGATGTTCAAGTCTTTTAACCTCAATCACTCAGTCAACAAATATTGACAGAGCCCTGCCATGTGTGAGAGACCATGTTGGATCTTAGGGTTACAGACATATAGGATGTTTTAGTGCCTCGAGAATTCACAGCCAGTGGGTCATGTGAACAAGTACAGCCAATGGCAGCGCAGCAGGGACTCTTGCCTGGGGAGCCTTAGGCTCCACCCTCGGAGGGGACTGAGGACTTGAAACTTAGCCAAGGTGGCGGCCATATGTGTGGGGAGAGACAAAAAGGCTTCAGAAAAATCTTGGAAAAGGAGAAAAAAATGTTCAAAGAAGGTAAGAGAATGAGGAAAAGGAATCCCCTCTCAGGGTACCAGATTTTACAAGGCATAGAGGCACAAAACATCACGGTCTGTTTAGAAATTTGCAGGTAGACCCATGGATTTTGGGGGTCTTATTAGTTTAGCTTTCTAAAAATAGACTTGCATTTTTAGAGCAGTTTTAAGTTCACAGAGAACTGGGCAGAAGGCACTGAGAGTTTCCACATGTCCCCACACATGGACAGCCTCCCCTGTGTTAACATCCCCCACCAGAGTGGCACAAGGGGCAACAGATGAACCCACACTGGCACAGCATCATTGCCCAGAGTCCATAGCTCACATGAGAGTTGAGGGTTCACTCTTGGGGGTGTACATTCTACAGGTTTGGACGAATGTATAATGACATGTGTTCACCATTGTAGTATCATACAGAATAGTTCACTGTCCTAAAAATTGTCTATGCTCTGCCTACTCATCCCTCTCCCCCTCCCCTGTCAAGTGCTGATCTTCCTATTATCTCTATAGTTTTGTCTTTTCTAGAATGCCATATAGTTGAAATTACACAGTAAGTAGCCGTTTCAGATTGGCTTCTTTCACTTAGCAGTATACATTTAAGTTTCCCCATGTCTGTTCATGACTTGATGGCTCTTTTTTTACTACTGTATAATATTCCATTGCCTGGATGTACCATAGTTACTTATCCACTCACCTACTGAAAGACATCTTGGTTGCTTCCAAGTTTTGGCAATTATGAATAAAGCTGCTACAAATGTTTGTGTGCAAGTTCATGTGTGAACATAAGTTTCCAATACATTTGGGTAAATACCAAGGAGTGTGATTGCTGGGTCTTATGATAAGGCTAAACTTGGTTTTTCAAGAAACTGCCAAACTGCCTTCAAAGGTGTCTGCACCATTTTGCAAGGTCCAGTGGTCTTTTATCCATTTATTTATTCCAAAAATAGGCACTGGGCATCTCCAACAGGCCATGCATAGGGAACTCCGTGGGGAGCAACACGAAGGGGCCCTGGCCTCCTGGAGTTTGCACTTCTACAGTGAACTTGCCAGGGGTGATCAGAGAAGCATCCTGACAGAGCATTTGCTTCCTGGAGCTGGCTCAGGAAGCTGGCTCTGAGGAGAGGAAACAGCTCCTTCATTACCCTCCCGGGGCGGGCATCCTAGAAGGGCAGAAGGTCCTCCTCACGCCCTGAGGGTTGGCTGACCAAAGGGAGGAGAAGAGCCATTCCTGAGGCAAGCTGAGTTGACGATGGTGAAGGATGCGACAAAATGGGTGCGTCCACCCCCATGTGGATGGCAAGGGTTCACATTCTTGTCCCTAGAGTTGTCCTTTGAAACTAAGGGGTCAGTTATAGTTGTTTCAAATGGAAACAAACCTCAGGGACCAACTTTCCTGTGGCCTTACAAATATTTTTTTAAAATATATTTTAATTGATTTTTTGGTAAAATAGAGAAGAAGGGAGAGGGGGAGAGAGATAGAAACATCAATGAAAGAGAAACATCAGTTGGCTGCCTCCCACACACCCCCTACTGGGGATTGAGCCCACCACTTGGGCATGTGTCCTGACCAGGAATCGAACCAGGACCTCTTGGTGCATGGGCTGATGCTCAGCCACTGAACCACACCAGCCAGGCACTTTCAAGCATTTTAACCACTGAAATCCTTCCTTAGATGACATCTTTGTGACATTCCAATGTGTAAATCAAATAAAGGGGAGTGCATCATCTCCTAGAGTTGCTATAACAAATATCCACAAACTCAGTGGCAGAAAACAACACAAATGTATTATCTGGAAGTCACAAGACCTAAAATCACGTATCAATGGGGTGTACTCCTCCCTGAAGGTTCTAGGACCATCCTTGTGTGTGTGTCTGTGTGTGTGTGTCTGTGTGTGTGTGCCTTTTCCCAATGTCTGGAGGCACCTGCATTGTCTCCACCGTCAAAGTCAGTAGCGGGGCACCTTCCAGCCTCTCTCTGTACCTTTCACCCCACCCTCCTCTCCCTCAGACTCTCCAGCCTCCCTTCTGTAAGGAGCTCTGTGATTGCACGGGATGCACCAGGATGACCCAGGATAACCTCCCATCTCAAGATCCTTCACCTAACCACATCTGCCCAGTCCCTTTGCATTGTAAGAAAACCTATGCATAGGTCCAGGGATCGGACGTGGGCCCATTTGGAGGCCCTCATTCATCCTGCCACGGTGACGTCGCTCTGGTCCGAGCGCAGGTGGAAGGTCCAGAGCCTCAGTACCTCGACATCTCCCGGTGCTGCCCAGACCACAGTGCAGACCAGCTGCTGCAGAGCCTTCCTCGGATCAGATGTGAGCGAACAAGGGTCCAGAGGCAGGAAATGAACTCTTTTAGGACCCATACAAGGTTATGGAAGATCCAGGCCTAGAATCACCTTCTGTGCCATGTCCATTCCCCTAACCCCCCTCCTTTAAAAGGTCTTCCCATACCCAGTCGGTGTGGCTCAGTGGTTGGGCATCGACCCATGCACCGAGAGGTTGCCCGTTCGATTCCCGGTCAGGGCACATGTCCAGGTTGTGGGCCTAAACCCCAGTGGGGGGCATGCAGGAGGCGGTCAATAGATGTTCTCTCTCATCGATGTTTCTATCTCTCTCTCCCTCTCCCTTCCTCTCTCTCTAAAATCAATAAAGAAAACAAAATTTAAAAGAAAAAGATCTTCCCATGAACAATCCCCACAGAAACAGTTTGGGCACAGTAAAAGCCATGGTCAGAATTGCCTCCCAAAATGAAGACAGAGATGAGGTTTCCTTGGGCCCTGGAAAACTGACATTTTTTTATGAATTGGATGCTCTTCCACTCTGGACACATCTTGGTAAAGAAAATCCCTGTTGCTCAGCAGCTAACCGCTCATCATAAAGCACCCGTCCAGGCTGTCCTAATGGGAACCTAGGACCCCAGGCGGCGCCCGCAGAGAAGAGGCGGCCTGTGCGAGGTCCAGCTGCACAGTGGAGAGCGGCTCGAAACCACTTGTCCTCACATTCTTGGCCCAGTGAGTAACCCATCTGCTCCCACAACAGCCCCTCCCTCTCTATTTCATGTCATTTACCACTTTTTTCCTTCGTCGCAAATATGAACCACAAGTTCAAGACTTTGCAAAAGACTAGACACTCTGACATTTGGGGGATCTGCTGTTTATTAAACTGGGATATCTACACTGACTATGAGTTGTTCTTAATTTAGGACAGTGACAGACAAATGCCTGCAATGTGTGCGTGTGTGTGCGTGTGTGTGTGCATGTGTGTGTGTGGCGTTTGTACGGCATCCAGGATCCAGGCACATTTGGGGGAATAAACGGTTTAAAAATCCAGGCAGCTACAAGTTGGAAAAAAATGCATGTTTGAAATTAATTATGCTATGAAATAAGTGGGGCGGTTGGCCAACGAGCAGAGGCCCACTGTACGGAGGCTGCCGCCTCACGGGCACGCTCCTGGAGACCCGCGGGACTGACCCCGCTGTCAAGAATGAATGAGCAGGTCGTTCCAGTCTTACAACCTCTGGAAAAACACAGGGTCCAGCATCCCTACCCCTTGGGCCCTGGGTCTCTCCTGACTCTGCTGGGAATAATCACCTGGCCTTCTCAATGCAAATCAAAACACACTTATTGACACCTATGTGCCAAGCACTGCTAAGTACTTTTTGTCTTTTATTTATTTATTTTCTGTAATCCTCACCCAAGGATATTTTTTCATTTATCTTCAGATAGAGTGTGACAGAGAGAGAGTGAGTGAGAGAAACATCAATGTGAGAGAGACACATCAGTTGGTTGCCTCCTGCACAACCCCAACCACAGTCAGGGATCAAACTGCAACTGAGGTACATGCCCTTGACTGGAATCAAACCTGAGACTCTTTGGTCTGTGGGCCGATGCTCTATCCACTGAGCAAAACTTGCCAGGGCACTGCTAAGTACTTTAGAAAAAGACTCTCTTAATCTTCACAAGAACGTTTGAGTTGGATATGACCCTATAGTTAAACTTAGTCCACAGACTGAAGCAGTTGCACTCAGACATGTGCATTGCTAGAGGCCCTTGCAAATGGAAAAGCAGAATTTTAACACAGGTTTTTCTAACTCCTAAACCTATATCCTTCCTAACACCTCAGGATACTTGCTCTGTGTGAGTGCCCAGCTAGGGCTGGAGGTAACAGGTGACTGACTACACACATAAACTGTCAGCACCAGGACAGCTGTCTGGCTCAAGCAGGGAACCGTTTAACTCACCTTTTCATCTTTTGATTCGGCTAATCCACAGCAGAACCAAATGTTCACCAGATCAAGAAGTTCCTTGTCTTCATAGAGCTTACATGTATCGGGTGAAGGAGGCCCAGACAGCCAATGAATGAACAAATAAATAGCTGCAGATGCTCCTGGGTACTAGGAAAGACAAAGTCAGACGGCTACAGTGAGGAATAATAGCAACACTGTCCCACAAGGGGACACATCGTTTTGTCAGGTCATGAGGTCCACGTCCCTGGGAGTATTTAATCAAAAGGTGGGTAGCCCACAAGTGATCCCGCCACAAGCTAGTGAAGGTGGAGGAGAGAAGGTGTCCATCAGCCTGATTCCTGGTGACTATTCCTTAACCAGCTGCAGGCAGGATGTGACTTTCCCCAAAGACACGGGAGGAATTCTAGAAGAAAGGATCTGGGTTATTGATTAGTATTCAGGAAAACTGGAGCCGTGCCAAGAAAGTATCAAGCTTTTTTTGGCTATTGTTGTGGGAGAAACAATAGAAGAGAAAGTACTCAAATGCTTGGAGGTGGGGAGGTGGTGGTGGGGGGCACGCCGAAAGCATCCAGGGGAACGGCGGGAAAAGCAGAGAGTTCTGGGTTCAGGCCAAGTTCAGGCTGGACTGAGATTGTTATCGGGGCCTAATCACTCAACTCTGCAGAGCCGGGCCGCAGGAGAACCGTGTCTGATGATCTGCTCGCGCGTCGAGTTCCAGTGCCCCTCCAGACCAGACGGGGAGGAGAAAGGCTGTCGGGCTGGAAACCGTATAGGCACTTAAGGAGTACTTCATCTTAAAAGGGGAACTGTTTTGCTTTTGTCAAACTGGTTAATTTGTCCCAAATGTTAAAACCTCCCATTCTCTTGAAAGATCAGCCATCTACAGATTCAGTGTTCAAACAGCCAGACCAGGGGAGAACTAAACCCAACCCCTCCCGCGTCTCCACCCCGCCCGCGGGTCCAAGCAGTTCACCGGAGGAAAGAGAAATGAGTTCGCTAGCAGCCCGATGACAAGTCTCACAGCAGCACGGCGAGCAGTGGCATTCTGCAGGACGCTAGGTGTCGACGCTTCTTTCGTTCTAGAGGGAAAATAACGTCTGATTCAGCTCAGACGTTTTAGGGCCCCCATCCCAAAAAGAATGTCCCTGGTTCGTGGGACAGAAAAAACGGAATGGGAATAGTAAATGTGTGAAATCTGACAAAATTATCTGATTTATTCAACCACACACACACGGAGAGCATAGGACCAATAATTTTGCTTCATTTTTTTTTTTAATTTAATTTAATTTTAGGGAGAGGAAGGAGGAGAAGAGAGAGAGTGAGAAGGAAAGAGAGAGAGAGAGATTGTTTGCTTCCTGCACACACCCTGACCGGGGATCCAACCCACAACCTGGGTATGTGCCCTGACCAGGAAGAGAACCACCACCGTTTGGTGTGCGGGATGATGGCCCCGCCCACCGAACCACACCGGCCAAGACACAACATTCTTAAATATACGTGTTTCTGGTGTAACCCCGTAACAACCCTGTGGGGTGGGGCCTTCGCTATGAAACGGAAAGGTGTTCTAAGAAAACCAAGGCTTTGGGAGATGAAACATGCCAAGTCCACACAGATGGTGCAATGGTAGAGCCAGGATCTGGACCAGTTCTATCATCCTAGCGGAGCGCTTCTCCACCAGGGCTAATTCTGCCGGGGGCCCCGCAGCAATGTCTGGAGACAGTTTGGGTTGTCAGCACCAGGGGGTGGATGCGGCTGGCATCTAGTGGGTTGAGGCCAGGGGCACTGCTAAACATCCTCCCGTGCTCAAGACAGTCCCCACAACAAAGACGTATCCAGTCCCAAACATCAATAGTGCTGAGGCTGGGAGCCCCTGGTCTCCAGGCGGTGCTATTATATATTACCCCTCCACCTGGCTTTTGTGTTTTCGTATCAATCCTCTCCTTTCAGCACAAGTCCCTCCAGGGATTATTTCAAGCCCATCGTACTATTTGTGGTTATGTAAAGCCACCTCAAAGCCTTCCTGCCGTCAGAGGAGAAACATTCGGCTTTGCAGCGCCGTGATATTCTGCATCCTGCTCCCTCCCGTGCATTTAGAACGGAGAGGTGCTTTCTTTCTTTCGCAGGAACGGCAGGCTTGCGTTCACGTTTCCTTTTACAATCTCAACCATGCAAAGTGAGGAACGACCCATCTTCCAGCAGGGCCTGCGATCTGCCTGAGGTTACCGAGCTGGAAATCCACTGAATTGAAACGGCACGAGCCCCTGACTCCAGCCCTGCACACGGCTCTGCAGCGGAGGCTCTCAGACTTCAGTAGGAATTTGAATCAGCTGTCTGGCTTTTTTCCCCTTTCTTTGTTGATTTTAGAGAGAGGAAAGGAGAGGGAGAGAGAGAGATAGAAACATCAATGAGCGAGAACATCAATTGGCCGCCTCCTGCATGCCCCCTACTGGGGATTGGGCCCACAACCTGGGCATGTGCCCTGACCGGGAATCGAACGGGTGACCTCTTGGTGCATGGGTTGACGCTCAACCACTGAGCCACACTGGCTGGGCTGTATAGCTTGTTTTTTTATTATTATTATTATTTTGTTGTTGTTGTTGTTTTTATCCTCACCCGAGGACATTTTTCCATTTTTTGCACAGATAGAGTGGGAGGGAGAGAGAGGAAGAGAGAGAGAGAGAGAGAAACATCGACATGAAAGGGACACATCAAGTGGCTGCCACCCGCACGACCAACCAGGGCCGGGGACAAACTGCAACCAAGGTACATGCCCTTAGCGGGAACCGAACCCGGTTCTCTCCGGACCGCAGGCTGATGCTCTAACCGCTGAGCCAAACCGGCCAGGGCTGGGCTGTATAGCTTGTTTTTAAACCTCCAGTTCCACATCCAGACTTGCAATTCTGGAGTCTGGATTGGGGTCCAGGAGTGGGCATTCCTGACAAGCTCCCCGTGGGGGTTTGATGCATTTGCCTCATGGAGCAAACTTTGAAGAACGCTGTACTATATAATGCTAGATATGAAGTGTATTGAATTGCAAAAATGATAAGGAAGATACCGATTTTGTTTATTAAATAGTAATGATAATAAATTAATAATAAATGGACCCGTGAGTGCATATGCACCTGGGAAAGACGCCGGGCAGCGTTTGCTGGCCCTGAAGAGTAACGACCAGAGTGTTGGCTTGAGCGCCATAGAGATTCGAGTTCCACCCCCAGCTTTGCCACTAAGAGTCTCCTGATCTCCAGCATTTTCCTCTCAAGCCTTGATTCTTTCATCATTTACCACTGGCAGAAAAGCAGAACTAAAATTATGAGCTTTTCAGATGGTATCAGCATTAGACGCTTATGTATGGGATATACTTAATACAGTGCAGAGATCCGCTGAGCTCTACCCGATAAATGCTTTTGATGGGTGGTGTGTCAGTGAGCGTTTGAACTGAGCCTGTTCATCTGAAGTCCGTGACACAGCAGCCCCGAGCACAGTGGCCTGTCCCCTTCGGCAGAGCCCAGAGCACCCGCAAGCCAGCAGCAGCTCGACGAGATGAGACACCGTCCCCCTAATGCATTCCCCCTGACCACTGAACCAGAAGCAACATTGCAAAAGCATCTGAAATATTTTTAAATTTATAAACACGCCTAGAGCAAGAGCCTGTCTTGCCGGCTCTGCTGAGAGAGCCCAGCAGGCCCCTCTTCTTCCTTCCTTCCTTTGTATCTGCCTGGGCTCTGAGCGACGCAATCACAAAGGAGCTGAGAGAGAGATGCCAAGACGTGGCGAGATGACCGCAATTAGTTTTCCTTGGTAATTCTGTGATCGTTTGTGTCTGCAAACCCTACCGTCAGAGGCACGCAGCTCCATGACACGGTGGGAGCGTCTCTGAGCCCCGTCGCGAGCACGCGGGGATCAGGCGTGGTGGGGATGCAGCGGGACGGAGGCCTGGTTCCTGCCACGGCGGTGACATGGGCGGCGGCGTGCACCACATCAGCACATGTTCACCGAGCTCTTCCTCTGCACCAGGCACACACGGAACGCGCAGCCCACAACAGGGACAGGGCGGACATTGTCCCCAACATGTTTAGAATCTGGCGTGGTGTCGAATCCCTGGGAGAGACAGCGGGCATGTGACAAGAGACCCAGCCAGTACAGTTCAACACTGCCAAGGTCGTGAAAGGCAAGGGGGGCTGAGAGGCTGTCACAGACCAAAGGACACCAGGGGGGACGAAATGCAGTGTGGCACCCCGGCCTGGGTGCTGGGACAGAAAGAGGACATCGAGGGGAACTGGAATTTCGATGGCGGTGACGTTATCTGTGTCTTCGTTCTGACACATACAGCGCAGTGGGCTTTTTCAGCTGCAGGGGCCAGCGGAGAAGGGAAATGTTAACGGGAAACGGTGTGAGGCAGAAGGACACCCTCTACAGCCTCACGACTTTTCTGTAAATCTAAACTATTCCAAACAAAAAGGTTATTAAAAAGAGAAACTGGGAGCCCTGGCCGGTTTGGCTCAGCGGTTAGAGTGTCGGCCTGTGGACCAAAGAGTCCTGGGTTCGGTTCCCGCCAACCTGGGTACGTAGCTCAGTTGCGGTTCATCCCCGGCCCCGGTGGGGGTCGTGCGGGTGGCAACCAATTGATGTGTCTCTCTCACATGGATGTTTCTCTCTCTCCCTCCCACTCTGTGTGAAGATAAATGTAAAAATATCCTCGGGTGAGGATTAAAAATAAAATTAAATAAATAAATAAATAAATAAATAAAAATAAAAGAACTAAAAAAAAACTGGGGAAGTTCTGATAAAAATGCATATTTCTTGGTTCTTACCCCAACTATTCTGATCCAAACTTTCTATCTTTTAAAAAACATATATATATATATATATATATATATTTCTGATTTTAGAAAGAGGGGAAGGGAGGGGAAGCAAGAAATAGAAACATCGATGAGAGAGAACATCAACTGGCCCCCTCCTGCATGCCCCCCACTGGGGATCAGGCCCACAACCTGGGCATGTGCCCTGACTGGAAATTGAACCGATGACCTCTTGGTGCATGGGCCAATGCTCAACCACTGAGCCACACCAGCCGGGCCAAACACCCCATGTTTTACTTCTTAGGTTGGAGGCGACAGAACGGGACCCCAGTAGCTGCGCTCCCAAGA